CTTCACGTCGTCGGCGAATGTCACGTTACGCTTGATCTCTTTTCGGGTCGACGTAGTCGGTCCCGAGGATTCGTCGTCTGTTGAACAATCCGAATCAGCGTCGCTGTCAACGGATGGACAATCTGACTCCTCCTCATCTTGTCTTGAAGATCGCTTCCATATAGCCGGGGCTGATGGATTCCACCTTCGGCACAATCTGATGGCGGGTGCCGCAGGGAGTGCCTTGGCCTTGGCATTCGGCTTCGCTGGAGCTGCCTTTGCTTCGGATTTGGCTTTAGCTTTTGCCTTTGGTTCCGGAGCTGGGGTAGCTGCTGCCTCATGCTTGAAAGGACAATTCTCTCTTGAGCACGAGCCTGTGTTCTTGAAAGAGTAGCATATCCTATTTCCTCCTCCTCCAGACGGACTTGGAGTTCTCGTCCTCGGCGTAAAGGGTCGCTCTGGAGTCTTCTTCGAGTGACTGAATGGGCACTTGTCACCATTTCGACACCCTGCATCTGTGAAATGGAACTTGCAGCGGATTTGCTTCTTGCTCTTGTCGCCTCTGTTGTCCGCTGACTCACTCCTCGTCTTCTTCTTGGGCTTTGGCTTGGTCTTCGCATGACTCTTCGCTTTGCTTTGAGGTAGTACAGGTGTTGCTTTATCCGGCTTGGTAGGCGAAGCTTTGACCTTTGCGGATGGAGCTGCGTTAGGCGTTGGTTTCTCAGGTACCTTGGCCGGTGCAGCGAGCAAATCCTTGCCCTCAAGCATCTGGCGCAAACCAATTTGGGTCTGAGTGAGATTTGATTGTTCTCGTCTCCGCATGATGGTACGGTCGATGATCTTCATCAGATTGTCGTACGATCGGTCTTCATGATTGTAGGGCAAGTGTTCGTAGTGCATGCCCAACTCCATCTTCATTGCGGGCGAGTCCTTGATCTTGCTGTACAAGCAATCACGGAGAGCTGTTTTGGATGGTATGTCTTCTGGCCTCATCCGTCCCAGAACCTCCAACCACGTCTGCTTGAACGTATGAAGTTTGTTGTCGCCTTGGTACTGGAGCTTCACCAGATACTCGAGAGTGATGATCATGTCGAGACGATCGTGCGTTCGAAAACTTTCATACATCATCGCAATGATTTGTCGTCCTTTGATGATCTTCCCTTCGGGCCTGCTGATGTAATCGTTGGCCTTCCGGTTCACCTCCAGGTACAGATCAGCAGATTTGTCACCACCAGCGCGTAGCATTGCGACCATGGCGATCCCCAATTTGACGTCTACGCTCTTGAACTTCTTGTGTCCCGAATCGTTCAGTGCTTCGACATCAGGGAATGGATTGAACGCTGGTGCCAGCCATAACATCCAGTCCTCATGATTTGGGTCGGCTGATGCTCCTAAGACATTCGCCGTGCATACGGATCGCCAGTTGTTGAGGTGAGTGAGAGTAGGCCATGGAGGAACGGTCACTTTATCGGCCTCCCTCCTGGAAATTCTCACCTCTGTGACTTCAGGATCTGCGTCTCCATCAGGATCACGCGCATGAGGGTCAGGATCCGGGTCAGGTTTGCCTCCACCGCTTCCCTTCTTATCATCATCGTCATCATCAGGCGGATCTGGAGGGTCATACCCCGTGCCGGCTCCTTCATCATGCTCCCCCTCTCCGTTCTCGTCGCCAGCTTCATCACCGTCATCGTCTCCATTGTCTTCCTGAATCGTTTCAGCAAATAATCTCCACTCATCACGATCAGCTCTGAGACGCTGTTCGGCTTTCTGGGCCTTGAGTACTTCGCTTCGCAGATCAGCAATCTTCTCTTCGTACCGTTCCGCGACCTCTTTCTCGATCTGACGCCTCCTTGCCTCATGGATGGAATCGTCATAGGCGACAGGGGCACCAATGAGGTCGTTGCCCTTCGTAGATGCGATAATGCCGTCGATACCAACAGGTCTTGAGGAGCTGGCAGATGCTGTGGACTTCGATCCCAACATCCCGCGATCCTCCAAGAGTTCACGTAGCTGTCGATCACGCACGGCTGCCGCATCACTTTGCCCATGAAATCCGCTTGGTATGCCAAACAGAGTGGCTGCACTAGGCGTGGAACGCGCATGTGCTGGGCTGCTAATACCTGGCACGTAGTGCTCGGGCATTGCATCCGCCACGATTGGCGTTGAATAGGATTTATTCACCTCACCTTTGATGCGGCCAGTGAAGAAGTTTCCACCGGTAAATGGAATTCCATCCATCGCAAGGTTCTTGTCCTTGTCCGATTCCGAGAATGCGAACTTCTCTTTGGCGACTGGACTAACTTGACTTGGGGACCGTATTTCAGGGGATCGTACCTCACCTCCTACGGAAAATGCAGGCACTACTTCCTTTCCTACGTGCTCCCAGCCAGACTCAGTAGTCCTCGAAGACATGGGCATGCTCGAAGGCCGTGTCACTCCGCCATGGTAGTTGGAGTTCCGTGCTGCCTCCAATTCGCTGCGTGTCCTCGCTTGAAGATCTTCTTGTGCTTTGAGTGTTTTCCTGAGTTCACTCAGCTCGTCGTGCAAGGTAGGCAATGCGCGCCTTGCATGATCTTCATTCTGATGAAGTCGGTCCTCTGCATCTTGCATCCTCCTCACAGCCATTTTGCGGTACTCTTCCTCTTCACCAAGACGTTCGCGAAGCCGAAGTCGTTCTTGATCAATGGCTGCGCTGTTCCCAGCCAGCCCTTGGATCTCGTTCACGGCCCGCAACTCCTGATTCCTGACCAGGTGGAATCGTTCCTGCATTGCTTGTAAGGCTTGTTCCGAACTTGCTGTGTTCGACCGGAGGAACAAGTTCTCTCTGGCTTGTTCATGAAGTTCATGAGTCAGATGCTCATACTCACGTGCCATAAGCTCACCATCGCCTTGCGCTCTTGCCTCCAACTGCACAAAGTTAGTGGCTGCTTCCGTGCGAAACACATGTAGCTGCTGAGCCAACTCCTCGGCAACGGCGTGTGCTTGACGTTGTTGAGCAGAGTTCTGTTCATCCATGCGAAACAAAGCTGCTTCATAGTCTCGCTTCATCTCCTGATTGACATTGTTGATGTGCCTCATGGCTAAGCATGCATGGTCACGTTGTCGTTCCAATTCTTCGATGCGAATTCCAGATCCTTCATCTTCTTGTTGCATCTCCTTGATCTTATCCATCAGGGTCTGGACAACTCCTTCGTACTCTTGCATCTGACTGCGATAGTACATCTGCTGCGCAAGGTTCGATGCTTCGAACTGTTGCGAAATCGTCAGTTCCTGATAGGCATTCGGACCATCGGCTATGGCTGGCGTGGTCACCGATGACGCATCACCACGTGCAGGAATAGTGTCCAGAGTCATATCCAGATCGTCAGCATCGCGTGGTTGATTGGTAACCATCCGATTCCATGTCATGGACTTGTCACGCCCACGAGTAGCCGAAGTCCTTGATCGTGCTGAAGAGCTTCTCGAAGATGATGGTCTCGACTTCTTTTCCAAGGTCTTCACTCCTTTGTCCTTGGCCCTGGACGTAGTCCGAGGTGCCTGAAAACCAGACGCTTCGGCTCGTCGTTCTGGAGCCTTGCCCGTCCTCGAACCTGTGGATGTCGGACGCGAAGGCGTAGATGCTCTTGGTAGACTCTTTGCTTTCACTTTGGGAACTGCCTTTGCAATGGCAAGCGCAGAAGATTGACCTTTGTCATCTTCCGTGGAGCTATCAACGGATTGCACCACTGTGTCATCAGCTGTTGACTCACCAACGGCTGGCGCTGCCACATCGGCACCGAAAGTCATTGTCGTATCTTGGCTTGATCCCGAGTTCATTGTGGTCGTAGTAGATCAAGTAGTCGTTGCTGCAGAAAGGCAGAGCCGCGTACGGCTGATAACCTGCGTGGGGATTTGATCTCGATTATGTTGCTGCTCTCCCCACCAGAGCTGTAATGAATATAGGTGTGGCTGGCTTGCACTCTCCACAGACTGGGACCCTGTCTCTCTCTCACTTCCACACGTGCAATCCTATGCAGGCAGAACCGGCGGCCGTTCCTTTTGCACTCACTGCCGGCGGCGGTTCGTCTGTGCACGGGATAGCTCTGATTGCTCAGGATAGAAGACACATATAGCACTTAGCTATGGGCATTGACTTGAGCCAAACGTTGCGTGGGCGGTCACATAGAAAGGTAAGGAGAAGCGATGCGGTGTGCGTAGCACGACCACAAGCTTACTCCTAGAGTCGAGGGACGCGTAGCGTGCCCCCTTCTCTTGCACTTTACACGGTCTTGCTCACAGCTCTTATAGTGACACCTTAGAACTTGACAAGGCATCGCAGTCCGTTCGCAAATGTTGTGGTTGGCGAATTTCATGATTAGAGCTTACTAAATATCAATGATACTGTAAGGGCCATTATACGGGTCGCCATACCATAAGATTTATTGTAGTGACAGCCATTTGAGGCATGTTCAATTGCTTGTCTGCGTTTCGTACAATTGAGGCATCCCGCTTTCCGGACATGTGGTGAACAAACAACGTGCCATGAGCGAGCGATCCAATTGTTCACCGTCTCAAAGTCTAAAAGCTTCCGAGGGAACACGCTCATAGCAGTGTTCTGATTGTGTAAACCCATCTTGGCAAGTACTGGTCAGTCACGACCTGCTTGGAGAATGGCATCATTCCGGCTCCAGTATTGTAAGCAAGCTATTCGAGTTTTGTAGTCATTAAAGAACCGTCGGTCAAACCAACCAAAGCGACACCCACGATTAAACCTCCATAGTCCCGTGCTCACACTTTATCGCGGCGCTTTCGCGCATCTTTTCCGGCGAGGGTCTTAGACCTTTTCTGTCCGACATGCTTGCAGGCGTGGGTGAGGGCCGAATGAATCTTGCAACCAAGCAGGCATGTGCCCTCGAAAAAATCAGCCGGTCGATATACTTCTTAAAGATACCCCCTGCCCGGAACAAGGACATACTTTCAACGAGCCCAATCGAAAAAGTATGAAACTATGCACTTGGAATGCCAGGCTTTTGACGAGAAGCATTCTGCTGGGCTTCGTTGCCTTGTATGAACACTTCGCCTGAGTACATGGGGCCTATGTGCTTTTGCAAGTCTAATGTTTCAGGGCTGGAGGTGTGGGATTCGCTTCGAACTCCAAGCCAAATGCGAATCACAATGGCTGCGATAGGTGCTTACCAATTACAGTAGAGTGGTGGGCGATGCTATGACGGAACTATATCGGGATGGCGTACGTCTAATTTACCTCCTCCATGGAGTTAGGAGTGGCAAAAGGTTATGATCACAAGTTAGGGCTTGTGGCGGTCAGGGTTCAGGGCTGCGATTTCATTTCGGGGTTATGCTTAATGTAACCCAGATAAGTGCCGAAGTGGAGGAAAGGAGGTCCCTCAAACCACGAAAGGATCCTTCATGATCCTTCGCATGCTTTTGCATGTATGGAGATACGTATATGAATCTGTCCATGTCTTTCTCCGTGCTTATGAAAATTTCATAATATGTATCTACTGATTCCATTCTTCTTTGGACATTTACCTATATGTACATATACTCATGTAAATATGTCTCTGAGCGTTTCCGGTTCACCAGTATCTACTTTTGAACACGGGAACCGTTTCCATCTTACCAAGGAAAGTGCATGCTCATACCGTTGGGGACCTGGTTGTACCAATTGGGCTCGGATGGGGGAACGGATCCCTATACTAGTCCCTATATAGTCCCCAATAATAGTCCCAATATCCATAAAGTACAGTGGAAGCCAGGGGTTTAGGATTGTGAAGTGGAGAGCCCAAAGGGTCGAAATTGTCTAAAAATTAGAGACTATAGGGTTTAGAAGAGTAGGAATTGTGCAGGCTGGGATCGCACATGAGACATTGCTAGGTCCTTGAGCTTTCAGGTTGATGAACACATCTATGTGCACAGGAATTGTTCAAGGGTGGAATCAAGAACAGGCGCGAGCGCCAACTTAATTTAGGCATTACGCCGCGCTCGTGAGATCACCCGGCAGCTGCTGGGCACAGGACCTTCTTCGGAGATTTCAACGGCTCCTTTCAGGCGTTTGGAAGACCTGGATGTGCAGGGTTTTGGCTCCAGACACGGCAGTCACAACAGCAACAACAAAATTAATTATTTCCTGGCAACAAAGATAGATGAAAGCGTAAACACGATGGTCCTACCACCAGCAGTGTTGGCAAGACAATACATACCACTACTGATAGCAGCAAGGGCACTAACAATAACAATGATCAAAGCTAAGGACTTCGAATGGGTGGAACATGACTGGGCTCTTGTTAAGGAACTTAGTTAAAATTATCATAAAAGCTTAAGTTGACATGAAAAGCAAACTCAAACGATATTATCCAAAAGGGCCATAGCGTAAACGAAAATTAAGCTCCTGACTCCTGAATGAGAACCCAGAGGATTTGGGGAGGTGCGGATGCAGTGTAGAGAGTCATGCCATTTTGCAGAAAGCGAAGTTGAAATACATGAGTATGTGGCCCTGACATTCTTGTGTAACTTTTGCCTCAGAAGCAAACAAAAGGCCTGTAGTAGCTGTACTATACGCCGAGCCTTTTCACAGATTCCCGGGCAAAGTTACAAGTAATGCGTTTACGGCCGATTCCCTCTGCAGGCTTGTCACGACATATGACGCATGAGATCGTCCTCACGAAAACTTTGCTTCTGCTTTCGCTGTTCTCTAACGCCACTGAGTCCCCAGCCAACACCACTTCTTGCCCGTGCGCTGATGCGCTTTGGGGAGCAGCGTGCTTTCTAGACCTTGCGCGTTGCCGCAATCCGAACTATATACATCGACTTGAAAGTTCAGGAATTCAGAGGTGTCATGTAAACTACAGCGGGCCCTACGCTGGCAGAAGCGGGTTCTAGTAAGGTCTGGTTGGCACTACGTAGATTTGCTGGGTAAGGTATCCTCAATCTAGCATTTCTTGAATTCATGGGAAATCACTGATCCTCTCCAAGTACTACGAGAACCAAAAAGTCTCTCCGAAGCCTGAAGCCCGAGACGAATTCAATAGCACTTTAGCTTGGAGACCATGTTCGTCCCCGAGTAGCCAATCCTGGGCCGAAGCTATCCGGGTTCTATTTGGGGACGGCCTTTTCAATCTGGGGTTTACACATGCACTCGAAGATCTGGACTACCTTGGCGGAGATATCGGCTCACTTCCTGGCTTTTGGGGTCCCCCTGCCCAGAACAATAGCTGCGAGGTGATTTCGGTTGCCACTCTTTGAGGTCGAATGTTGCGGGTTGTAGGAACCAACCTCTGATAGAAACCCTAAACCCTAAACCCTAAACCATGCAGGGGCGCTGCTGCGAAGCTGCACAGGGACTCGGATGTGCTGTTCCCCTGGGGTTTGAGCTTCGGGCATGGAGGGAACCTCTTTGGGCTCAAGAAAAGGAGACTCTGAAACTTATCAAAGGGGAAAAGGCGGGACCCTTGATGGGGACCCCTGGGCGATATAATGGGTATATAATAGCTACATTAAGGGTATATACCTAGGGGTCCGTATTAAGGGTCCCTCCTTTTCCCCTCTGAAATTAGGGTTTGCAGAGCTCCGGAGGTCAGGACTTTCATATTTTGATTCGGGGGTTTAGGGCACGGCATGGGCTACACAGGTCCCATAATGTAGAGGCCTCAATACGTGGCAGAGGGTCTGGGGGGGGGGGGGGGGACATTCTTATGTGACTTTAGTTTAGAAGCTGCCCCCACCCTGTAATAGTGACTATAAGGATTACATTAGGGCCCTATTATATTCCTATTATACCACTATTACAGGGTGGGGGCCCCTTCTAAACCATAGTTGGTGTCATGTGTACTCAGGCCAGAGCTGTCTTCCTCAAATAACAACATCAATAAGAATAGGAATAATCCAATATTAATAGTAATAATACAAACAGTAATAATAGTAATGATACGAACAACAATAATAATACAAACAATACTACGACGAATAAGGATGTTATTCCGAATTCTTCGGCAAATGTCCCTCCAGCCCAGGAGTCTCACAGCTCAAAGTCAGGTGAGCTGCGATCCACCACTTGAACTTCTGAGGTGTGCCATTGAAATAGCGCCGCCTGGCTGTTTCAGTCTCTGGCTCCACACCATGCATCTCAACGCCCAGACACCTAATCCAAAAGATTCACGCTACATCTCCATATATATGTATATGTATGTATACACACTTCCACAAATACATATGTGTATATGTATATCTACATATATGCACATACACATGCATATCTACATATGTTTAGAACAGTGGAAATATGAATATTAATATGAGGATATATATATATATATAATGTATCTCTCTCTGTTTTACTCAGACCGCCAGCCGTGTCTCCCCCTCCGTCAACCAATCGCGGCAGCAACCTCCGTCTCTGCTGTGCCTCCCACTTGTCGGCCTGGTAGCCGGGCTGTTTCGTTCAGCGGGCATGTGTAAGGTTCAGGGTTTCCGGTTCAGGATTCTTACGGTATGAGGTCCTTCACACCGCACTCTATGCCCTACCGTGCCCTGCAAAACAAGGTGTGCGGACTGATACCATTGAAGAGTTTTGGGAGCCCTTGAAAAGCTCAGGTTCACGATGAAGGCTATCGCAAGGAATGGAGGCTCGAGATTGCAAACTTAGGGGTACAGGGATCGCACATGTCGATGACAAAGCCGCCTTAGCATCTGCTCAACCCAGAGCTCTCTAGGCAGAAACTGCCCGACCCAGAACCCTAAACCCCTAAGTCCGACACCCTCTAAACCCTAAACCACTGCCGCCAGCCTGCGATTTCATCTTCTTCGCACCTTTGTTCTGCCTTTGCCGATGACCTTTGTCGGTATTTATCATGGCTTCAGAGTAGTTTAGAGTTATTCTTTACTGCTTAGGGATTAGAGTCTATTGTACGGTCAAGGGTGCATATATATATATATATATACACACATGCTATAAACGCTGACAAATTCACAAGCGTGCAGTGGAATCTGGCTTGACTTCAACTTGCACATTAATGAGGTTCCTGTGCGGCTCATTTAGTGGCCGGTAGAACATGAGATCTAGTCTTCGCAGTAGAGATGAACTAGGATTCCTTACTGATGCTTGATGTGTCATGTTGGGACTGTGCGAATCTATGTTCGGGCTCGTGTTCAACGTCGCGACTGGTGCACCTGAATTACAACTGCGTCAGCCGACAAGGTGACAGCAAACATATTTGAGATGGAAGTTATATCGCGGATCCTACGTCCTGCGACCTACGGTTACCCGAATCTGAGCCGTTTCAGATTTCCAGTGACTTGGTTGGTGGGGGTGTTGGATGCTAGAGCAGTTCGACTGATACAGTGAGAACAGGCGTCTTGCAGCCATTTGGGCAAGTACAACAAAGGTAGCCAAAGGAACCTGTTCCAGCGTAGCATGCCTAAACCCCTATGTATCTTACCGAATATAGCAAACCTGAAAAGCTAAGGCAGCTAGGGTATAAGTATAAACGCTCCATGTGGATCTTCACCCTATGCCCAAAACCCAAACCCAAAAACCATGAGCGGAAACCCTCGACGGGCTGTTCCCAGAGACACTTTGCTCGAATATAGGGGCCTTAATGATTAGAACTAGAATAGGGTTTGGGGACCCATTATACTTAGAATAAGGAACCCCCGAAATAGTATATTTAATGGTTAGGCCTATAGTATGTTTATTTGGTTTTGCGATAGCTTCTTACTAAGACTTCCCAATACGAAAGCCGGGGATTAAGCTGAGGACAGGTCATGGAATGTGCTGCACATTGGCTTCTTTCAGAGGGGGCCCTCAAGGTTTTGGGTGTAGGGTTCCTCCACGAATTTGGACATTCGGAAGACTTAACGACCCCCCCCCTAGCTTCTGCAAAAGTCCACCCCACCGGACTCCATAGAAAAAAATGGTCTCCTCTGGAAACCCCCCAAAACAATCCGAAAATGGGGGACCCTAATTTAGTACCCTAAGTCCCGATTAGAAGGATCCCAAAATGGCATACCCTTAATTTTCGGAAACTCCCATTTCAGGCGTCAGGCTCCATGATTCCAAGGACTTAGTGATAAGAAGGACAGCCTTGGTCAGGGTGCTTGTAGCCCATGGCCTACTTTGGTAAGTCCCCTCATCCTTCCAACACCCAACCTGTTCTTTCGCATCCTGTGGTGGCTTTGCTTTAAGCCGGGCGGCTGCTATAGGGCGAGGGCTTCCACATATCCGCAGGCGGTGCGGTCTTCCTCGGCTCTGTAAACAGTATGCATACATATGCGCACACTATGAATATGTGCGTGTGTGTACATACGTACATACATACATACATAAATACATACATGCATACATGCATGCATGTCTGCTTCATTCATTCATTCATTCATCCATTCATTCGGTCTTTCGTTCATCCCATCATTCATTCATCCCTTCATGTATGCATTCTTTCATTCATTCATCACACACGGATTCATATGCACACGCTTGGAATCTGTGTATTGCACTTGAACATGCGGTGTAGGCTTTCATATCTCAACATCAACAGTCTTTGAACTCCGACCCAGCACATTGCTCCACAACCCAGCGTCCAGCCGCTTTTCAGCGCGCGAAACTGCGTGAGTGCCTGAAACAGGCGTTTGGGGACTCCTTGTTTTGATTGGGGCTGAGGCTTCGAGGATTTGGGGATTGTGCCCGTGCCGTCGGGTTCGGGTTTTGAAGGCCTTTCTGATCCTTTGTGCCTTGTGGGGTTCAGGGCTCAGGAGCTCCTGGTGTTATATTGTGCCTCAATGACAAACAACTCACGGGCCACGATGATACTATCGACTACTGGCCTTTTATATCTTACACAGGATGCTAGTTGAGGACTGAACCCTAAACCCTCTCCATTTCACTTGGAAGACCAGTCTCTTGTATGGAGGTTTGGCTTAGTTCTGCGCCCTGCATGCCAAAGAACATTGAAGAGCTTAGAATTGCTTTTGAAGCTTAGGGCTGTGGAGTTTCGGACCGCAACCTGTAGAGTAAAGCCTGCATTAGCTCAATACCCCGAAGTCCAAATACAGAAGCCCTAATAATTAGATTAGGGTTTTTGGGCCATATGATTATACTATAATTATGATAAGGAGCCCGCCCAACAAAATTGTTTCGGTATTGATTGAGGCCCCTGCAGTCTGCCACCTTGCATCGTGAGGGAGTTTTGCCCAAAGCCCTAAGCCCTCGACCCTAGCATAGGGTTGGAACAAAGGGCTATGGACTCCGATAGATTGCAGATGCATTTCCGTACTGCAGAGGAGATGAGGAACAATTGAAACGAGGCATGCAACAAGCACCCAACAGCGCATGAACAAGACACGGGCTCGAACTATGGTCCAAAAAATGAAGTTCTTACAGTCCGTAAAAGTCCGTATACGATCTCATATTTGGTTTCCAAAAATAGGGGTACCTTATTTTGGGGTCCTTATAATAAGGATCCTACTATTTAGGGTACTATATTAGGGTCCCCTATTTTCGGAAACCCCCATGTCAATGTCCCGCTCGAAAGGCGACACCAAACCCCTGACAGACACTAGACTAGGCATGTTGGAGGCCGAGAAACTTGGCCTTAAAGAACTACGGTACTCCTCATGCACCATCCGAAGGCTCTTTAAGAAGGCTCTCATTTTTAGTAGTTGAAACAAGCCCCAAGAAAGAATCCACACCCGATCAACCTTAAACTCTAAAACCATTAAAGCCATTAGGATAGGGCTTTGGGGATATGTTGTACACAAAAGAAAACCAAAACCCTAAACCTTAAACCCTAAACCCTAAACCTTAAACCCTAAACCCTAAACCCTAAACCTCAAACCCTAAACCTTAAACCCTAAACCTTAAACCCTAAACCCTAAACCGTAAACCTTAAACAACAAGCACGGCCGGCCGGCCCTGTCGGGAGGAACTCGGACGGTGCCCCGCTCGAGCCATTCTTCAGCCCGCAAGTCTCCTTCGACGGGGGTTTAGGGTTTAGGAGGTTTAGGGTTTAGGGTTTAAGGGTTTAGGGTTTGGGAGGTTTAGGGTTTAAGAGGTTAGGGTTTAGGGGTTGTTGGGGTTTAGGGGTTTAGGGTTTTGGGGTTTAGGGATTCGGGGTTTAGGGGTTTAGGGGGTTAAGGGTTTACGGGTCTAGGGGGCTAGGGTTTAGGGGTTTAGGGCTTTAGGAGGTTTAGGGTTTAGGAGGTTTAGGGGTTTAGGAGGTTTAGGGTTTAGGAGGTTTAGGAGGTTTAGGGGTTGAGGGTTTAGGGGTTTAGGATTTAGGAGATTATGGGGTTTAGGGTTTAGGAGGTTTAGGGTTTAGGGTTTAGGAGGTTTAGGGTTTAGGCTTCTTGTTAAAGGATGTTTAACCTGAGTTGCCATAATTTAGGGTTCCTTTAAGGGCTCTGTAAGGGTTCCCTTTAAGGGTTCCAGACGGGTTTAGGGGTTTAAGGGAGTTAATTTTAAGTTACCATAACAAGGAAGCCATATTAACGACTATAGATCCTATTATGGGGCTCTTTTTATGGGACTTAAATCATTTAAGTTACCATAACAAGGACGCCATATTATTTTCTGTAGGTCCCTATTATGCTAACTTTAAACAAATTCCCGAACGAGAACCCAGTCAAAGGGGTCTGGGGAAAGCGCTTAGGGAGCTTAGGAGTTTCGGGTTTAGGGAGTTTGGAGTAGACTTGGGTACTGCCACCAGCCTGTAAAAGTCTAGGGCTAGTATTAAAGGTCTACTGTATCCAAAATAATGAATATCATTCAAGTGTTACGGGGCGGGGGGGCAGTAAGCAAGGTAGACTATGGAAATAGGAGATTGTTATTTCTTGGCATTAGGGATGAGAGTCTTATACACGGATTCGTAGGACTTCTACAGAGTTGTGCAAGCTTTTGTAGGGGTTGTGTCCAGGCGTTATTGGGGTTTCTTGAGCAGGAAACCTGCTTCCCCCAACTCCAAAACCAAACCCTGTTCTGTGCAGAATCTCCCTAGCCCTAAACCGACTTCAGAATCCGCGTCTGAGCCAAAGAGTCAAAATGTGTTCCATAGGATCTCAGTCGTCCTGGAACATGAACCTGCTGGAACCATGGCTCGTCGTGGCGGTCGTCGAAGGTGAACGTCCACACGCCTGGGATCTGGAAAGGCGTCGCACGTGGGAGGCTTTTGGATGTTGTGGTTGATGCTTTAAGGATTCAGATGGTATATGGCTGGGCAGGATTGGAAAGGTATGGCGGATTCTGTTAAGAGGCAAACCCAGAATCTTAGGGCATGCAAAGATGCTGCAAGAAAAGATTGGTTGAACATCAATGACTGAGGCTGTGGATGCGGAACTTGGGTAAACTCTGTGCATGGACCTAAACTTCTCACGCAAGGCCAATTTGGCCCAACCGAAACCAAGCGAAGTGTCTACAAAGAGACTTTGATTGCTTGCTCTGGGTGTTTCTGTTCTGGAGTGCTGGCTGCTAACCAAACCCTGGGACCCTTAGAAACCTGACGCAAACAAAGAAACAACACTGAAATTTCCGCTGCTGCACTGCTGTTAGCTTTGACCCTGCACTCGGATTAGGTTCTCGGCCGCTCCCCAACATGCGGTTCGGATTTAGGACGTTGCTTGCAGGGCCAAAACACATTGGGCACTCGACCGGGTCGACAAACAACAAGATGTCGACAGGTAAGCGTGATTGCGACGGATCCGGGCGCGGGCTTGAGGGAAGTAGGAGTTCAAGCCTCATGAGTGTAGACTGCAGAAGCACTGTCTCATTCTTGAAGCGGCTCGTGGTAGCTTTGTGGGGTTGAAGACTCGGGCCTAGACGGCCTAGACGAGGCGTTGTGCATCTCAAAAACTTGCAGTCATTCACATGCGAAGCAGTTCATCGCTACCTCTATCCTACAAGAGCCCTGCTGTAAGAACAGTTTGAATAATCAACCAAAATCCACCAGAACATCATGGCCCTGGTCCCGAAACCCTTCGAAGTGTGCAGAAACGCTGCCCACAGGTAAGATCGGCCGGCCCTCCGGCTCTCCATTGGCGATCTGGGGCAGGCAGCCCTAAACCCTAAACCCGACTGCTTTAGAAGGGGTGGGTCGGTCGTTTCAAAAGTGGGGACTGATAAGGGGCTCAAAAAGGTTGCGCAAAGGGATCATAGTCGAGTGTCGGGTCTAGGGTTGTAGGGCCATATGGTTTAGGGTTTAGGGTTTAGGGGTTTAGGGTTTAGGGGTTTAGGGTTTAGGGTCCAAGGTTGAACAATTTGTGTAACAGTTTTTAGGCTTTGAGGGTGTAGGTCGTTGGATTTGCATGGTTCAGTCGTCGGGGCTGTGTAACTTACTTGGAGGATCAGGGGACTTAGTAAGTAGGGTGATAAATAAGGTATCTATAGTTATATCTACATATAACCGATAGCCTTGATTAAGGTACTTTTAACCCTACTTACTACGTCCCATGATCCTCCAAGTAGTGTAGACGGACTCCAGAAGGGCTCCTCGGTAGCGGCCCAAGACGGATCTGTAGCGGGCATGTCGGCTTCATGAAATTGTACCTAAGTCGTAGGATGCCCCTAGCTTTGGCAAGCCGGCGTATCGTGGGCACAGGGAATATAATATCAAAACACACGCATGAGAAACACAAACGATGATAGTTTCAATTAGGAGCGACCTCAGACCGCGCTTGAAGACGTCATTCGACACTGTCTCGGTTTAGGGTGTGAGGTTCACGGTTCAGTGTTGCGAGGTCTCGGTTTTGTATTTTGCGCGGGTGCTCACTGCGGGTCTAGAGTTTGAACTTGTTGACCCTACGGCTCAGAATTCAAAGGCGCTCGAGTCGCCACAAGCTTTCTTGTACAAGTAAGGGTCGGTATTGGAAGTCAAGAAGCAGGTGTACTTCGCGTCGCTTCTACTCAGGTCCAAGGCCCCCGAAAGATGAAACCTGCATCTCGTTTTTGATAAGTCCTGGCCCCCAAAGTGAGAACTTCTGGCCATCTCAGGAATATTTGTGCACCAAAATCTGCAAATAAATCAATGGCATCCAAAGAAGTCCACGCAGTGTGAAGAGCCCGTCCTTGTCGTTGAAGGGCATCCTGCACGATCCTCCATTTACAGATGTGACGTCGAAGATGGCGTTCCACGAGTTGCAATCCTGGGGATTCATGATTCTATCGTCAGGAATGCTCCTACAACCTAAACCTCAAAACCCTGTATCTATCAACCTGTCTGTATACATACATATATATATATATAGTTTTTTATGTGTATCATCTTTACAAGTATACATATGCATGTATAAGTGTATATATATATACACATAATATACCATAATATCCTTCCAAATTCTTCCAGGCGCTTTTTCTGAAACGATATACAACCTCATCGTTAGAAAGCAACTATGTACTAGTAATTCCGCAATTCGACAGTAAACCCACGTCCCACAGTTTCTGAGAAACCCTTATAAAGCCCTGATAGGAACCCGCATAGAACTCCCATGAAGCCCTTTCAGAACCCTTCTACAAACAGATCAACCCCATGTATCACCAATTCTTCAAACCCCCCCCCCAGACTCCTAGAGACATACAAGGGCTTAATTTAAGTACCAACACGATTCCTTAGGGCTCCTTACTTTAAATACTGCTACAACGGCTAAACCCTATCCTAGAGCCTTTTTCATACTGACATTTGTAGAACCCTTTACGGAGCCCATTAAGAAACGTTCACGAAACTCCGTCCCCTCTCTTAAATACCTAGACCACAAACCCTAAAGCCTGCAAGCGGGACGCTTGCTAGTAGCACAGGACGGTAGCCCTCGGATCACAAGCTTTGGTATCAAGATACAGAATCCGGTTCAGCTTCGCAATGGCACGGTGATACACAGTGCTTCCCCTGAAGCTGTTCTAGCGGAATCCTTTTCTCGAGTCACGTAGCTGCAGGCAGCGACTGTGTCGAGGAATGCAGCTCAAGAACACAGACTGTTTGCTGTTTCTTGCATGCCCCCAAACTCCTAAAGATCTTCAGAGTTCTGATATTCCCTTTGATGGGATTTCTTAGTCTCTGCTTCCAGCGGTTGTAGGCCCGCTTGCTTCCGACGTCGCGCTGACATCATTGATGGATCCTCGACAATTCTCCATCGGCCCTGCATCTGATAGAACAGTTCAAACTCTCGTGAGGGTCCAGACTTTGTGAGTCCGTTCGCCAGTTGTGCTTCTGAATGTACCCATCTCACGTGGATTCCAGTACTCATTTGTGCTTCTTTTACACTCAAGAGTTCGATATTCGACTTCTTCTCGGCGCCCTTGATCACCAGAACTTCTGTGGTGAGCTTGTCGTACACATTCCTCGAATCCGTGATCAGGTAGCCGGACACACGAGAGATTGTATCGTTGGGCTGTCGCACATCCACTTCGCCATGTAGCATTTCGGACCACTGGTACCGTGCAAAGTACAAGGAGTCTTCTCCATTTACGGCCGCCTGCACTTCTGCAGAGCCTGGAGACCTACAGGTTCGATCCAAATGGCTGGAGTGCCAGCTGACGGGCGAAATTTCTGTCACTTCTCCGGCAGCAAGCGCTAATGGAGCAAAACCTATAAAGATTCCTTGTGTGCTTCCTCTTTCACTCGGTTCTGGTTGGCTGCGTCCACCCAGGCATAAAGGCCCAGGGGGGTGTCGGGTGTGAAGCCATGAATGAGCATCTTGTGATTCTGCCTCAGGTGTGCCTGTCGCAACAAACTATTGGCTTTCTTCACAGTTTGAACAGTTCCCTCACTGGTTTCCGAGAGCAGCAACGACACTTCGGCAGAGAAGTGGGGAGCAACCTGTTGCGCATGCCAACTTAGTGCACCTAACAAACTTCTCAGCTGCGTTCTCTCTCGCTCATTGACAGGACTGTCATCCTCCTTCCGTCGGCTCGCATTGAGCGGGATCTCTTTGATGTCACGCGTGTAGTCCGGTTGGGAAAGCTCGAAACCTTGTTTGGTCTGAGTCACCTTCACCCCACACTGAACGAAACTTCCCGACTCCCAATCGCCCCAACGGAACTTTTCCTGAATCTTTCTCAGAATTTCCTGCCATTCCTTATCATTTTCATCCCCCATGAACAGAAAATCGTCAACATGACCGGAAATAGCCCCTCTCAAGGTCCCTTGAACCCTCCAGAGCCAAGCGCAGGGGTCTGACCACGACCTCACGAAGCCTAACTCTTTTAGGAAGCTATCCACAGAACGATACCACTCAAGAGGCGCGTCCACCAATCCGTAACATGCTCGCTTGAGCTGAGTCACTGAACCCGGTGGCAATCCCATTTCAGCCAAAATCTCTGGACACGGAATGCAATGAAGAAGATCCGGATATTCCCGTCCTTGAAGGAACGCTCCTGAAACGTCCCCCTTCTTCATGGTCCACTTCTTGCAGGCCGCATATTGGAGAAACATCTGACGCGTCTGACGCGTCATTACAGGAGAGGTTGTTGAGCGGTGCTCGTATGAAGGGTCTTGGTATCCTAACAACACCGCCCTAGCCTTGGCTTTTCTGCTACCATCTTCTTTGTTTTTCCACGTAAGAATCCACCTCATTCCTACCGCCTGGCTTGCCGATGGTTGCAAATGGCTAGGGGGTGCTTGGAAAGCTTTCGCGGCGATAAAATTCTTCACTTCAGTATTCTTGGCCTCTTGGAACTTAGCACGATCCTCAGGACTAAGTTTCCGTTCGCACACCTCTACGGCCTTCCGCTTCAAAGCCCCCACAAAGAACCCTTCAAAGTTTTGACACATCTGCTTTAATCCCCGATTGGACTGTGGCACCTCAACCTCAACTTCAACAGGCGTATCCGAATGCATCCAGAACTCCACCGGCTCCTGATTCCATGATTCGTGTGGAACTTGATTCCACCACCCATGGTCTGCGAAACTGGCCTGTTGTTGATTCTCCTGTAGCCGTGGTCGCGCTGCACTTGCGGCCTCTCCCATAGCATCATCATCACCGGGCTGAGCTTGGGGAGGAGGTCGCTTCTGGGTAATCCGGTGTCTGACAGGAGGAGCTTCCTGAGTCGGGTCTTGGGCGCGGTTCCATTCAATATCGTCGGGAGCTTCTCGGGATATATCCTCATACTGGCTGCCTCCGATTTCTTCCGCAACTTTGGTGAAGGTCCATGGGGCCCGTTTGTCCTGAGACAGTTCTTCCACTAACTCTTCTCTCTCAGAGGCTCTCCGTAACTGTTCAGGACAGCACTTAATCAGTTGTCGACCTCGAACACACCAAACTACACTGCCAGGTCTGAGGTTTCCAGCTTCGTCACGACGGGTTTCGGTAGCAAGCACTCTAGCAGGTCCTAAGAACCTACCGTGTTTTCCCCCTGGGCTGCTCCTACTCTTGTTACTTTCTTGACATCTCCAGAAGAAGACTAATTCCCCTGGTTCGTAGTTGAAAGCCCGACGAGGTCGGGAGTGCTGAGCCCTTAGGAGCCTCTGGTTCGCGTGCCAGCTAGCATGTGCCCGCTCGGCAGTTGCTCTTCGCTGAACGTCCCTTTCAAACTCCCCTGAAGCATTCTCCACCAGGAGATCGGGTGGAAGTCCATTGGCCGTAGGCACAAAACGATCCGAATCATCCCCGTTTCTTCCCAAAGCCAATTGACCCGAAGAAAACCCTCGAATCTGTTCCCTATGGTTGAAAGTCCTCACAGCTGTGGCGAGTGCTTCTTCCGATGAAATCTCGGAGTCCTCCTCATGAAGCTTGTCCATCAACTGTTTCAGCCCTTGAACGGCCTGTTCCACTGTCCCTACTTGCCAATGCGCTTCAGCCGGCACTAAATCAAGGTAGATACTGTGCTTATCGCAATAGGTCTCGATGGTCTGGCTCCTGAAAGCCCCCGCGGTGTCTAACCTCAGAGTCCTAGGTAACAAGAAATACTGAACCCATCCCTCTTGAAAGTACTGAAGACACGCTGACGCGGAAGGCTGTTGTTTGGATCCTCGGGTCAGGATTCTCGCCGTACGGAAACGAATGCACTCATCTATGACCACCAGAAATTGCACATGTTCACCTGTAGTTGGGTTGTACCAATTACCAACGTCCGCTGAAACAGTATGCCACTTGGGTGGAAGCGGTTCCAATGACGCAAGATTCCTAGGTTGCACTCTTCGTTTTTCTTCACAAACACTGCACCTAAACTGCTTGGCCACTTCTAACACCTTGTCCGAGACCCCTCGGTGCTTCAATGACTCAACAAGATGACGGATACTCCCATGTCCTGTAGCGGCATGTAACAAGTAGAGTTGTTTTTGGATGCGCTTGGTTTCCTGGTCCTGGCTCGTTCGGGTCGGTTCCTGAACATAGGCTTCTTCGGTTTCGTGGGTTTCGTATATCCCGTGCTCCAGGACACGCGTTCCTGGTGGCTTCCGGGGAAGGGGAAAACCTAGTTGGGTAAGGCTCTTACGCACCGTCGGGTCAAGATCATCGCAACTCCGAGTCGTGTACGCAGTCAGAATCACTCTCTTTCCCTCCCACTCACATGTTCCATGCCATGTATCGGGATTGAACTCGATTATGCGGCGACGTGTGTTCTCCTTATGCCCGGTTTTTTCTTCCTCATGGTCCGGTCCTGCCAACCACAACTCTCCGCCCGTGTAATCTCCGAACCCGCAGGTGTAATTGCGGCTACCTTTCTTGTTGTGGACGTCCCGGTGGAGAGGTAACCGATTGTCAATGCTGATGACAAATGATGACCAAGTAGCTTCGTTCCCGAGGTGATGTTTCAAGAAGGCGTTAATGTAGTGGCAAAGCTTTGGGTGCTCCTGGGTCCTATGACTCTTTCCTGAGAACTTTCCGTAGCTGTATGCCCCAAATTGGAAGTAAGCGGGCCTCGTGTTCGTGCCTCCCAGCGTTCCTTTGCCTTTTCGGGGAAGGTTCAGGTCCAAGGTGCTAAGGAATTGGTCCATGTGTTTGAAAGACAACTGTCCCCGACTGACATGTTCTCGTGCCTGTCTCTCGCTCTCGTCCTCTTCTTTCTGCTCAGACACGAAACTCTCATGCAGCACTGGAACATGTTCCCTACCAAGAACACAACAACTGCAAGTCTGAACATGTCCGGACTGACATGTGGCATCACACACGCAAGTCTCACCGCCACCGAACAGGTCAGGCGTCTGGGAGATACCTTGCCCCTCCTATTGTACCCCGTAGAAACTCAATTTGTTGTTGCAATCCGCTCACCACCAATTTCGTGAACTCCGGCGTGTAACAAGCTGATTTTCCCGCCATGGCCCCTTCGCACCGCCCGTGTTCGTACTTCCCGTGGCACCTACAAGGTTTGTTCATCAATTCCGCCATGCGCGCTTGTGTCGTCATGATCTTCCACCCTTTTGGAGAAGTCGGTTCTTGTTGTCCCGAAGGTTAACTCGGCATCCTTTCAGCACCGCGGTGTACAGCTGATACCGTCGCATAATGTTTTGAATCAACGGCAACCTCCAGGCATCACAACGCTCGGACAATTCCCATGTGACATGTATGCCTTTCTGGATGCAATGGTGCAAGATGACACTGCAACCCACATACACTCTCAGAGCCTCTCTCCGCTTCTTCTCAAGTTCCTGTTTCTGTTGTTCACTGCGTTGGTTGGTTCGTTGCATGGGGGAGTACGGACCGCACGGGGGAGAGAGCCACACATGACACGGTTTTCCACTTCGATCTGTTCAAGAACAATCCTGATCCCTTCTGTCGTTCCTAACTCGCAACTGTCAAACAAGGAACTTCGACTGGCGGCTTGCGTGTCATGTTCGGCTTCTTGCACTTTCTCTCTCACATGCTACCTCCAAGAGTAGCGGTCTTTGATGGCTTGCTAGCCCTTGGAAGATCTTTGGAACGACACTCCACGATTCAGATTCCAGATGCCGTGCGGCGCCGGCCGTCAGAGGCCGTGTACCTACAACATCCTCCGATTTCTGGAGGCTCCTGCCATTCGTGATCTACCACAACTAGCCTTTCCTGATTACCATCTAGGGGTCCATCACCATCTGGAAACTCTGGTCGGTCCCCGCCGTCTCGGTGTCGGTACTCTTGTTGCCCTCGGCCTCGTTGTTCTTCTTCCGTGGCAAATCGCTGGGAGACATGATTCCCCGAAGGCTGTTGAGCTCTGCCTTCAGGGCCGCCACCGTCTCCTTCATCACCTTGAGGTCTTCCTTGTCGCTGCTGGCACTGGCACTCGAAGCCGCACCATTGTCGGCGGCCTTGCGATAGCCGGCATCCTTGTGTGCAAGGAAGGGTTTCCCACGGCCCTTGCCATTGTCCTTCTTGAGGAAGACATCCGTCTCCCAGGCATTCTTGTCGGTCACCTTGGGCGAAATCGTGTCGGTGATCTTGTGCGGCGTCTCCTCCTCGGCCTCCGAGATGCGGTCGGTCTGCTCGATCAGCCACCTGGCCAGTCGCTGTAGGCGAATCTCGCAGGACTGGCCTCCCTCGAGGTAGATCTCCTGCACCCATTGGCTGTACTTGGTCTCCTCGCGGAGAATCTGGCCGTAGGTCTTGGAAGCGAACTTGCCGAACCCCACCGTGTCGGGGGCGCTGGGAATGGAGACGCTGTAGATCACCTTCATGGCCTTCTGTTGCAAGACCGGGATGGTCTCGTGACCCGTCAGGGCAATCTTCAGGCGGTCGGTACAGAAGTTGATCAGCTCCTGCTTCTTTCGGCTTGCGCGATTCAACTGGGACACCCACTCTCGAAGATTGGTCTTCGTAGTCGTGGACTCCCCGGCCTCGTTCATCAACTCGGTCAGGCGGTCCCGCAATTCGATCTTGCCCCAGTTCTGGGGCGGACTTTCGCCCCGCTCCTGGATGGCCTGGCGCAGCTGGGACATCGACATCTTCATCATGGCTGTGAGCTGCACAAGGTTCCCGGAAGGGCTGGAGCTTAGATCCTTCTGAGCTGTCACACTGGCTACCACATTGGGAGAGCTGCTTCCCGTTCTCACCGCAAGCAGAGACTAAGAAATCTTCAGAAACACTACTCGCATGATTCCTACCACTACCAACTTCCACTCTAGAACTCGGAACATCTGGGTTCCCTGAACTGTACAATTCGTCCTTCCTTTTGTCGTCAGGGTCGGCATCAGGAAGGAGCTGTCCCTAAATGAACTCTTTTAGAGAAGGCACCGCTTTGTTGGTGCTCTGGGCTTTCGAAAACAAATCCTCCGAGAGGTCGAGCAGCTGGTGGCCGGTTTGCGACCTGCGTAGCGGCACGACCTTGTACTTGTCAAGGTTCCGGAACGTAACCAGGTCCTCTTCAAAATCTATGATCGCACCCAACTTCCGCAGTGCCTCCACGGATAGCAAGATAGGCCCCTGTCCAGCTTCTAGCGCGTGGATTGTGATCTGTCCCGGCTGACCGTTGGCCTGGATGCCCAACTTGATGGTTGACACACACTGGTCTTCTGAACTGTTCCCAAAACCAAACACTGGCTTGTCCTTCGTGTTGATCTCCTGCAATCGCGTCTTGCCGTGCTTGGCCAGGTTCCGGGCGAACAGGTCCTCCAAGGCCTTCACGGAACCAAGAGTCTTAGTCGCCCCCCCATCTACCACGCAGTAGCCTTCCGTGATGGCTGCCTGGGTTGTAGGTCCACTGGAGGCCGAGAGCGCCTCATTCTCCGGTGGCTCTTGTCCCGCGAAACATACGAAGGGGGCGGACTCGCGTTGGTTGCCTTGGTTGTTCTTGGGAGCCTCGGGATTGGGGCAATTCCTTGCCCGATGGCCGATCTTTCCACATTTCAAACATGTCATAGTGCTATCGTCAGGAGGGCGTGCTGAGGTGCCCTTCCCAGGCCCCCGGAAGAATTTCCGAGACATCTTCACTTGATGTTGTCGTTCGCGAGCTGCTCGAAGGGTGCGTCGGGCGTCCTGCATGATGGCATGTGCACTCTCAATCTCCTGTTGGCTCTCTTGGAGCTCATTCTGTTCCTCCTCGGTGAAGTCCTCTCCGACGGCGAAGAGCTCCTCGATGGTGTCGTCCTCGTTCTCATCCTGCTCGTAGTCCTCGTTCATGTTGCCGAGGTATGCTTGACCTGCGGGGCGAGCTCGACCGCCGTCTTCTCCATGTTGAGTTCGAAGTTCATGTGCAACTCGACTGAGAGTGTAATTCCCCTTCACAGCTGTGTGGATCATGTTCCTTTCTTGAACTGAGAGGCCGGCATCGGCCAATAAGTACCAAGCTTGCACGAACTCCGGGAGGAGTTCCAGGTTGGTACTGTCGGACCCTGAGTGCACCTGACCTGGTCGGTTCGACCAGTAGTCGCTCCAATCGCACTGGTAGCCGTAGTTCCACGAGTTCCATGACCACCAGCTGTTGTGTGAACTCCACGTTGGCGCGGCAGTGGTAGTTCCGGATCCTCTGTCTCCGGCGCTGCGATCTTCATCTTCATCGCCATCGTGTTCATCACCATCATCGTCCTCATAATTGGAGGTCCAACTTGCGCGGCGACTTCCCCATGGTGAAGGTCCGGTTGCACTTGTACCTCCGGCCCATGATCCTGGAGTTCCCGCTGACTTCCCTTTCGGCATGACTCGTTGGAGAGCCTGACAGGCTCGCCAATACGTCTCCATCTTCCTGGTGATGTAGTCATTCATGCTCTCGCCATACTTCCGGCGCCCATTCCGGAAGTACTTGTTGAGGAAGTCGGTCGCCTCGGGGAGTCTGGGTCGACCCAAACTCTGTCGCAGATGCTGGAGGAACACCTGCACTCCACCATTGAAGGAAACCCAATCGGCAGCTTTTCCGATCAGCATCCGCTTTGCGGCTCCTGTCAGTTCCGCTGACAGTCGCGGGCCGCATAGGTACCTATTGTGGTAGGGCATCCCTTGCTCCCATGTCATCACCTCTTCCTCGTAGGCGGTGAAAGTGGCTGCGTTCCCGTCCCAAATGGGGACGCCATCTTTTGACCGTCCTGGACTCGTCGTCGTCCCACTTGTCATCTGGTCAGGCCGTGCGTGACCAGCTCAAAGTCTTCCTAGGTCCCTGGATACTGCTTCTGGAGCCTTTCGGCTCCGCTACCATGCAAGCGGGACGCTTGCTAGTAGCACAGGACGGTAGCCCTCGGATCACAAGCTTTGGTATCAAGATACAGAATCCGGTTCAGCTTCGCAATGGCACGGTGATACACAGTGCTTCCCCTGAAGCTGTTCTAGCGGAATCCTTTTCTCGAGTCACGTAGCTGCAGGCAGCGACTGTGTCGAGGAATGCAGCTCAAGAACACAGACTGTTTGCTGTTTCTTGCAAAGCCTAAACCCCAAGCCCAGGCGCATTCACCCGCTTGAGGCGCTTCGCCAGCTCCTTCAGCGGGCCATTGACGGAAAGGCGCTCGAACCTGGGTTTCGGTTGGAGGCTTTTGCGGGTGTTTATACAAACTCTTTCAAATGAAACCCTGCAAAAAAGTACCGAAGGGATCATTAATTCATACCAAAACCCCCCAAAGCCTAAACCTTAAACCGAAAGCTTGGCCCAGCGGCTCCGACACCGTCGTCTTGCGGACTGTCTCGGCTCTCTCCTGCTCGCCAAAGGGCTGAATCAAGATCGCGAGCAGCTCAGGGAGGGCTTCACCGAATAGCTGCATTTTGTAGCTTTTTGATGGGCTTTTACAGGGATTTGTGATTTATTTGAGGATTTTAGGACATGGGGTTTGGCTCTCGGTCTGGCTTTAGGTATTCAGGGCTCAGTGCTCAAGTGTCCTTTCCATCTGCTGAATCACCCTCAGGGACGCCGCATGAAAAGTTGGGCACTTCGGGCTGAAAACTTAGTGTTGACGGCTCCAGGTCGGGAGCTCAGAGAATTCTGATATTCCTGAGCCCTGTAGCAGTACGCACGGAGGAACCTGACCTGAGTTGCCACGCACAAGACCCAAAGCCCTATGGACACGAAGGTGCTATAGGGGCCTTAACAATTAAAGTATGGGTTTGGGGGCCAACTATACTACATATGTATATATACATATATATATATATGATAAGGAAGCCCCAGTGTAGTATGTAACTATTCAAGCCCCTATAGTATCTCAGGGGCCTTGTCCACGATGAGCTGACTCCACACCGTATGGAAGGAGGCTTTGTTGATGCCTGAGGCAGTCTGTGCGCTTTCAAGCCTTTGAGGCTGAGTGCGGTCATAAGTCTTGATCCCTAAACCCTCAACCCTAAACCCTTGAAACAAAAAAACCGCAAACATCCTTAACCCCTGTTCCCTAAACCCTCAACCCCAAAGCCTTAAAACAAGAACTCAAACATCCTTAAACCCTAGACCGGAACACACCTCCGAAATCCCTTGGGATTGGGGTCCACAGGATTTAGAGCACCGACCCTGGGCCTCGCTTTGCACTGCTACGTACTTCTCAGGGCTCCTGAAAAAACATTCAAAACACTGATGCTAGCTACCTAGAGGCTCCAAAGTAGTTCCTTTTGGGGGTTCATATATAGAATCCTTTAAGCCTATAAGGTTATCCCAAAAAGGAACTACTTTGGGGCCTCTGGGTATTGCCTAGTTGTTGAGTTCATAGGCTCCAAAAGTTTTAAAGTGGGTAATACTATTCCAACAAGTGTAAAGTGTATCCACTCAGCTACTAAGATTAAGGCCCCCATATTTGATTTAGTTTGGGGTTCATGTCTCCCATCTTTCCGGGTTTCAGTTCTGAACACGTTTGGGCTTATGCGGCCTGCGGTCAATTGAGAACTCGAACAGACTGTTGGTGGTCGTTTAAATCTTTATTGTCTCTTGAGCAGTACCATTGGTAATCATTCAGGCGTCCATAAAGCCCCTAAGCCCAAAACCCAAAACCCTAAACCGATTTAGGGCGATTTGGGCTAAGAGGTTTGCGGTGTTTCTTTGGGTCCAAGACACCCCACACACACGAAATCAGCATGTTTACTAACGGGTTTTTAGGAGTTAGGATTTTGAACTGTGTTTTCAATTTTTCAATGGGCTGAGGGTTTATGAGAGTCCTGTACCTCTATGCTGAGGAATGACACTGATTCCTAAAAACCCTGGGTTAAGGGCTCGGCGCTTTACGCTTTCCGGCTTCCTTGGTTCGGCCTGGGGCCCGACCCCTGGAATCACAACCTTCGGCCTGTGGTTGCATTCCAGGGGGCCTCGACCCTTAAAACAAAGGTTTTGGGCAGTATCATAATATGCTCAGCCTAATGACCATGTTGGATTTGTTGGTGCTCATGCCCAGAAAAAGGCATCGCAAGAGTCTTAACAAGAGGAGTGAGGACGTTTGAGTCGGTAGTTTCCCAAGCCCTGAAGGCCTGAACTCGGAATACCTCGTCCCTCTAACCTAGGAGCCTACATAAGGGTGCCTTACTCAAGGGTCCGTATAAACAAGGCTCCTCTAAGGGACCCCTTTATAGAACCCTACGGTTCCCTTGCAGGGAACCCTATAATTATAGAATACTAAAGAACCCTTGTCGGGGGGGGGGTTCCTTAAAAGGCGGATCCTGCTCGAGTCTTAACCCCAGGCCTTTCTGGACGTTCCAGCCGCTAGCTTTGTAAAGCGTCCTGAGCGGTGGCATCTTTGGGAGCAAGATATGGGGGGGGGGAGTTCCGAAAGTATGGGGTTTGGGGTTTAGGGTTTAGGGGTTTAGGGGTTTAGGGGTTTAGGGTTTGGGAGGTGGGGGTGTCGGAATATAGGGGTCCTTAATGTAGTACCCTAAATAGTAGGATCCTTATAATGAGGACACTAAATGAAGGTACCCCTAATAGTCGGAAACTCCCGTATCGGGTTCGGTCCTTGACTCCAAACTCGACTACGGCTCCCACGATTGCATCTCTTTGTGCAGAAGAGGAGCGGGTGGTCAGGAGGGCCTGTATGGGCTATAACTACTATTTGCTTAAGAAACACAAAAAAAATAAAAATAATAATCCCTATATTACCCCCATAAGGAATATATTTTTTTATTTTTTGGGGGTTCTTAAGCAAATAGTAGATAAGGAGGGTGAATTTCAGGCGTTGGGTCGTGATGAGCTGATGGTACATCCAGTCGAGGGGTTGAACGCAAAGCCCACCAGCAGTGGAACATCATTTTGGCTTCCAAAAGAACTGTGCAATGAAGCTTCCCAGAGAGCCCGACACCCCTTAATTAGGGAATACAGCTTAAGTCATAATATGGAGCCCTATATAATTTACGCCATTTCTTGATTAAGTGGTATTGGGCGCTCTGGGTTGAGGACACATCATGCAACGAACGAGGACGCAGAGGGCCGATAGCGGTATCAAACGATCCTCGGGACTCAGGAAACAAGGGATCGTGGACCCATGTCTTGTAACGGAACCTGAAAGATGCAAATCTCGTTCTACTTGGAGGATCATGGGACTTAGTAAGTCGGGTTCTCGGGTTGTAAGTAAATAAAAACTATAGCCAGGAGTTCTGAAGCCCTTTGACTACGGAGCCCCACTGCTGAGCTACGCACCAAACCCCAAAAGCCCTACAGCCAAAGAAGCACCCCAAGCCCTCCAGCCACTTCGGCCACGTGGCAACTCGAGACATCGTACCTCCGGGAATAACTGATGCAAGATCTCGGCACGCAAGTTCCAGAACTCCTTCCTTAGCTGGCTCGGGCTCTAAACCCTAAGGCCGTAACTTCTGTGCTGAGAGAGTGTACTCGTAGAATCAGGGGGGTCTAGTAAGTCGGGTTTGAGGGTCAGCAGTAAGGTACCCCATGTTTGTATCTGCTTAGCGCTACCTAAAGTAAGTATGGCCCATAGTACGATTAATGATACAAATCCTGCATTACCTTGCTGATCCTGGACTATGGGATTTTATGGTAGATTCCTTGTTATTATGGGAAATGCAGGATTTATATCATCAACCGTAGGTCACCTGAACCTCTTAGTGGGTGCTTTCGAGGGTAAAGGATCAGGGCAGGCCCTCTACTCAGAGGATCATGGGACTTAGTAAGTAGGGTTACAAGTACCTTAATTAAGGTATAAGTAGATATAACTATAGTTACCTCCCTTATAACCCTACTTACTAAGTCCCTTGATCCTTTAAGTATGTTCAACTTCCCACCTGGGATCGTGATTGCAAGAGCAGCCTACTCCAGCAGGGATCCGAGGTAGACCCCCAGTCGGAGGAAGTAGGAGCCCCTCAATAAATCAAAATAGGCGAAGGCCGGATCCCCGGAGTGGTAAAGAGGGTTTGGGGATGTATTATACGATAATACTAAGGAACTCCCAGTCTTAGCATACTCATCCAATAACAATGTGGGGACTATGACGGGGGATGATCTGCCTTACGGTTGGTGATATAAATCCTGCATTACCTTAAGGACCCTAAACTATGGGAGTTATCTTACATTCCCTATTATGGGTCATGCAGGATGCAAAAAAAACCGTATTTCTGGGTTTGCAAGGTTTGAAGCTTTCGGACTTCAGGGCTTCAGAGTGTAACGAATTCGGCATGCCAAGGTAGTCTGGGGGCCTTAAGACTTGGAACAAGGGTTGGGGATTCTTCCTACCATAATTATCATGAGGTACCCCTAATATTTCGAACCCTACTGTATAGTAGACTTCCTGTCACATCTTTCGGCACTCCATTTAAGCGCGTCTGCAGTTACATACTTCTACTGAGCCGCGGGAACACCCCTTTGTGTTCTAAACAGGCCGCAGAGCCTTATGTAGTAAGGATACTCTTTATAACACAACCCTCCTGTAGCTTAAAAGTTTAGGGTGGCTGGGGAGGCGGGATCATGGCGAGGGTTCAAAGGTGGTGTGAAGGCTTCAAACGCTAGTAATAACACAAGCATCCAGACCAAGCGAGAAAGTCCCAAGACACAAAGCTTGAAGCAGCGAGCCCCACATGCATAGACCGAACCGCCTCATGCTTGCATCTGAAGCCATGCTGCGAGTTCATCAGCAAGCTTTCGGGAGGGTCGTCTTCCTTGCAGTTGGTGCCAATGATATCCTGGAGCTGTGGGATCTGGAAAGACGGCTTCGCGGCTTTACGGCCATGGCTACTCGGGTTCAGGAGCCCCCGCGCACTGAAAGCATGTCAAGACACAACAGGGGACGTGGCAAGTAAGGCCATAGGCCATGAGCAGAGAAATATTGTAGTCAGAGCCACACCAGCGGATTGCCCAAAGTAAATATTCCGTTAAAACCCTAAACTCAAAAACATATCCTTGGAACCCTCGACGCCCTGCGGCGTTGAACGCAACCCTATACATCCTACGCTCCCGAAACATCGGGACGTTTTGGCGGAGAGCAACGGAATTATGCCAGGTGATGCCATACTGGGCGTCTGATATGAGCAGCACCCTTTTTGGGTGCGTCTCCCTCTTCTTCTACAGCAATTAAGCATCCACTCAACTTTGTTGTGGGGGTTTGTCAACCTCAACTATGGGCGTTGAGGGCATATGGCCTAAACATATTGAGTTTAGGCGGTTGAAGCCAAACTTTGAGTTGCTCAGGCGCAACGCCGACGACGGGAGCAGCATGACTGGATTTTGTATATATGGTTTGCATGGGGTTCAGGGTTGACTCTATCTGAAACTTCCGGCCCGTTCAACCCGAACAAATTTCTGCAAAGGCCCTGAGGTCAAACTCCGAGTCAAGATATTGCTCATATGCAAACTACCGGAGGACATATAGTTCAGGGCTCACGGATCAGGCTTTTCTGGCCAACACAGGGAAGGATATAAGGAGTGGCTCCACAAAAAACAAAGTTCTTGGAACTACCATAGCGCGTGTCTCTAGAATCCCTATCAAGTCTATACTAGAGTTCCCTGCAGCAAACTTGAAGCCAGACCCTAGAAAAACCCTAATGTAGAGGACTGAGTAGAAGTAGCTAAGTAGCTTGTAACGGTATCTACAGTCCCTGCATAAATGATTAAGTGCTAAGGCTCCTATAGGAAACCTTGTGCAACAGTTTCAAAGCAGAGCCTTGAGTGCAGGAAGTTGGGACTATTCTCGTCGTTAGTGAGTGGCCTGAGCATAGGCCGCGTCTTAATTTTAGGGTTTAGGGTTTAGGGTCCTACCAGAACCTCAAAGAACACAAAAACCAGGTGCTCGCCATTATGATTTACTCACTGACATCCTCGGAAAGGTAATAAGCTCGTGGGTGTTTTCAAATCCAGCCCGTACCAAGGCATCCGAGCTGCGATATCTTCGTAGAAGGGGTAATACGGCGTGTGCATCTCCTTGATTGGGTTGCGTGGTATAATTACTGGGGTTGGGAGTCTCGGGGTCTCGGGGTCTGTTGCTGAGTTCCCTGACCCCCCAAGAGTTATATAAAGCTTTGGACTAGACTAAGATCTTGCAAATCCCGGAAAGGCTATCTGCACTTAGGATTTGGGGTCTCCGGTCGCGGGTTTAGGCTCCAGGGTTTCTGCAGCTTCTTCTGTTGGTATCGACGTGCCAACGAGCGCGGCTCAGGGCAAGGCTCTGGGGTCCAGTTTAGGACTTCTACGGTCTGCTATGGTCTGCTGTTAAGGCTTACATGCGATTTGGACGGTATGGATCTACACGCTCTCTCTGCAAGTCATTCGTGCAAGACATCGTGACCGGGAACCTAGACCGAGTGATGACCAGGGCTAGCAAAGACATGCAAGGACCCGTACGGAAACCCAACTCTCCCTAAACCCTGAACCAGAAACCCTAAACCCTCAATCTCGACACCCGATTCTTTCAGCCAAAACGCTACCCAGCATAGTGGGCGCATTTCTGTGAACTTCTTCGCAATGATGCGGTGAAGCCGCTGCTTCACTTCCTGGGTTCTTGTCTAGGGACTTCAGAAGTTACCATAAGAAGGAAACCTTAATATTTACTATAGATCCCTATTGTGGTAACTTAAATCTTAAACCCTTAAAGGAGCCCTTACCCTAAGGGTCCAAAGGACCCAATAATTAGGTACTCGGTTTTCAGATAGTAGTTGTATGATAATTAGGCACTTGGACCCTTAGGGTTATCCCTTAAAGGAACCCTTAATTATAGATTCCTTAACAAGGACCCAGCTTCGGGAAGATCAGGGATGGACAGCCTTCCAGTCCGAGTGTACGGGTCCCGACCGCCGCGCAAGCTGGAGTGCGAGTACCTGCTTGGAGGTTCAGGGGATTTCGTAAGCAGGACTATGGTACAAGTAAGCTAAGAATAGTTCTATCTACTGTACTTATAACTCTGATCAATTAAGGTCATAACTTACAATAATAACCCGACTACTTGAACCTCTAATTCGAGGAAGGTGAACTTGCTTGTGACACGGGTCTAGATGACATGAGCTTAAACGCCCCGAAACCTACTAAGCGCAGATCTCCGCTTCCTTGCGATCTTGAAGGTTAGCGTTCAGTGGCTTGGGGCTTTAGGAATCTAAGTCGGAAGGTTAGGTTTCCGGCTGCTAAGTTTGAGGCTGTCTGGTTCCGGGGCTTGAATTTGAAGGCGTTTACACAAAGCTTGCAGAGTTGAGAGCTGAGGGTTCAGATGCCTGCGAAGCTGCATGTAGACAACAAGCCTTAGACCCCGACGTTCATGGTTTGAAACCCCAAACACCATGCGTAGCCCTAAAACAAGAACTGTGCTCCTCTATGCAGGACTCCCTCATCAACGGAAAACAGTACACTAGGCACCCTCAAACCTTCAACTAGACATCTCCCATCTACCAGGCAAAGTCTGGCTGGCAGCATGTTGCTCACTTCAGTCCGGACTCGTCCGACTACGGAGTTTGAGTTGTAAACAGGATCTGAGCTCATTCTGGGTTTTGCATCGACACGGTATGATCAGTGCCTCATCTTACAAACTGAAATGCATTGATCAATATCACACGTCGTCAGCATAGTCTGTGAAATCCATCAGAAACATCGGCCGCACACAGATGTATACTACATACGGAAGTAGAGACTTGCGTACATACATACGTACATACATGGTTACCTACACACATGCATACATACATACGCACACATATACATCGACAGATACATAAATACATACATACATGCATGTGGAGGGAGAAAGTAACGACAGATCCTGTCATGGAATGGAATCCTTTCCCCAAGGACCCTAGGACCGGCACATCACAAACGGAAGAAACCCGAAACGATCACACACACACACACACACACGCACACACACACACACACAGAGAATGCCTAAACCAAAACCTTTGTGCCTTAAACCTTGAAGCAAGGGCCTTAAAACAAATCAACAGGGTTTCGGGGTACATCATACTATAAACATGGGTTGCCCAGTATAGTAATGGTAATTATTTAGGCCCCTGGGTTACGCTTGACTGAAGGAGCCGGGGACCCCCGCGGTTGGTCGAAGCCCACGCTGAAGTTCTTGAGGAACTGGTCGTCTTCAGTCCAGCTATTGCGGTTCCACCTGAGCTGACAACTGCCAAAGGAACCCCCAGCTAGAATAAATCCAAAGCACCCCCAAACCCTTGCCGCTAAATCTAAATCCTGAACCCTTCGAGCCCCCAAAAACCTGGATTCTAACTGACCGTTTGCCCTGCAGAGGGGCCGGTTCGCCATGGCTCGATGCACATTGGCCGAAAGAGTTCGACTAAGTGCAGCCGGTGGCTTTAGAGGTTTGGAATTTACGGGCTTAAGGGGGTTCTTAAGGTTTATGCAGGATTAGTGTTGAAAGGTAGGATTTCGGTATGAGCCGTAACATTTGTTTTCAGGGGTTTGGAGTTTGGTGAGTAGGTTTTTAGGGTCAATCTCTTTGGTTTCAGACTTTACGATATTGAGGGTTGAGGAGTTATGTTCGGTCGAGGTACGGTGGATGATAAAAATCCTGCATTACCCTCAATAGGGAATGTACCATAATTCCCATAGTTTAGGGTCCATAAGGTAGTGCAGGATTTATATCATCAACAGTATTTTATTATGTTAAGGCTTCGGGCTTAGGAGTTATATGGACGGCTTATGGCATCGACGTGACACCCATCGGGGGATCAGGGGCTTATCAGGGTTCGGGGTGCTACCGAACAGAATGCGGCGGCGGAACATCTAGGGTTTAGGGTTTATAGGGTTTAGGGTCTTGTGTGGCTGCGAATCTGCATGGCCGGGAGATTCCAATGCATGTGAGACCGTGGCGAAGCTCATGAACATTAGTCATGATTGCCAGAGACTCCGAACCCAGGAACCCTAAACCCTAACAGCCCTAACAAGTCGTACAGTTTTACCAAACCGGCAGCGCTAAAATGCAGGTTGCAAGAAACTCAGCATGTCCAGAACTCCGGTTGAGAATCCTAAGTCTCCTAGGGTTTAGAGTTTTAGGGTTTTATTGCTAGCGCCTCAGGGCTAAACGTTCGGGTCGACCTGTCTGTCAGTCTGCATAGGATACACCGCGGTTTAGAACTCGTACAACCTAGGTTCTACCTGACCTGCTCATGTAGAAACCATAATATCTACACCTGACCCGCTCATGTAGAACCAATAATATCTACATCAGGGTTTGGTGGCATGCCTTAGAATATCAGAATATCATTCATCTTCATCATACCTAAATGTTCAGCAGTGCAAAGCATAAATAGACAAATTAAGGACCTAAGGAACAACATCGCTAATTATTAGGCTTCCATATTCCCCCACCGAACCCCCAAACGGCAGGGAGCAATTCGAAGCTCCTGGTCGCCAAGCGACGGCTACACCACGGAGTGGCACTGTACCGGGCCTGAGTCTTGGGTTTAGGGTTTATTGTTTAGGGGCTTGGGGTTTAGGAGTTTAGGGTTTGAGTTTGGGGTTTGGGGTTTAGGGCCAGGGTTTAGAGGTTTAGGCATTGTTGAGGATTCCTGCTGCAAGAGTACATGATATTTTTTTGGGTAAGGCTGCGGGCTATAAATATATCTTTGTATGTATGTTATTGGCACTACCCAACTGTGGGGCCTTACCCTAGCTATACAAGTAGAACATGGGCCCTAAACCCCAAACGTGTTAGTTAGGCTAGATTTACTCCCTCGTGCTGGTGCTGCAATTGCCTGGCTTCTTTGACGTACCCTGCCATGTTTTTTGTACGGAATTGCACGGCTTGCTTAGAGCATCATTGCGACCGTCTCATGATCATGAAAAGCAAGGCTTCGAATCAATAATACTCCAACTCACTAGGGCTGTAGGTAGGTTCGGGACTAAGATGTCCAGGGTTGAAGGCTTCCATACTGTTAAGGATGCCCAGAATCGGTACATTTGCTGAAGGATCGAGCTCGTACGGAACTCGCACGAGCATTCTCGCTCTTGTCGTCTGCAAGACTGATTAAATCGGTTCAGCGTTCAGGGTTTAGGTTTTTGAAAGCTTGATCGCTATGCACAGGTCATGGCTTTTTTCCTCAAGCGATGGAAGGCGGTCAACTCGATTCTGCGGCAGTCAGCACAGCCTCCCAGTGACAGTGGCTGCTGAAGGGTCTGGGCTCCCCGTGCCTCCTTAACTATCTGTATGTCTGTGTGTCTTTGTGCATATGCATATGTACATACATACCATATGTATATATATATATGTATGTATGTGCATGTATATGTGTATGTACAAGTGTATGCATTTGTATGTGTATGATATGTATTGTATAATCTCAAGCCCGGCAACCTGTCAACAACAAGCAGACGTCTTGACACTAACATCGAAACTCACGGGCCTAATAAAACCCTTTGGCCCTAGCCCCAAAGCTTCCGAAATCCCTAAACCCTGAACCTTTCTAGGGATTCGGGTTTAGGGTCTACGGATTAAGCATTAAGTACCCTAAGCCCTTACGAACTCCTGGGACGACACGCCTCCAGACTTGGCTCGTCGTTGCTCCGGAGGAGCTCTCGGCCACCATCCCGCCTCTGCAAAGCTTAGGTAGGTTGTTGTTTTTTCTTTTTTGAACCCCTGTTTTCCATCTGCGAGTAGGTTGGTTTAGGGTTTAGGATTTATAGGGTTGAGGGTTTAGGATTGCATGTGATGTCCACGTGCGCGGTTTCGGGGGGCTTTAAGGGTTATAGGATTGCGTGTGCTGTCCAGGTGCAGTTTTGAGGGATTGTTAATTAAGGGCCTCAGGATCTCGGATGTTGCAATTTCCGGCCCTCAGGAGTTAGGGAAGCCTAAACGCCTACCCTAGACCCTAGACGCCAGCAGTCTGAACCAGCGAAGGCTTTCAGGGTCAGAGACGAGTTTTGAGGTCGAAAGATGTGTCGTCTGCAGCTTCCGTGTTGGGGTTCCAAGGTCCTTTTCTTTAAAGGTGCAACGGCCTTTCTTTCCACCAGCAGCCTCATTGAGGCCTGCACTCCAGAAAACACCAGCACACAGACTCACTCTCATCCCATCACTCTTGTATCCCATCATGGCTGTTTCATCCCAGGGGTCTAGGCTGCTAAGTCTAGCGGCCTCAGCATTTATATATTCAGGAACGAGAAGGAACAGTATGGGTGATGATTCCGGCCTCTTCATTGTAGTGTTTCGAAATCCTAAACCCCAAACCCTCAGAAAACACAATAAATCGAAACTGGCAACACCCGGCGTCCAAACCGCATCGAGAGGCCTGGCCAGCACCCAGGGCGTGTTCATCGAGCGGTAAAGCAGGGCCTGATCGAAACGAACTCTTTATTAATCTTACGACCTACGATTGCAGGCTCGGGGCTCTCAGGGTTTAGGTTCAGGGGTGTTTCAGCAGTAGGCTTTGTAACGAGGTTCTCAGGGACCCACAGCCCAATTACTTAGGCTGCCAAGAGAGTTTTACAAGTCGTCTGTAAGACCCAGCATGCACATGAGGGCGCTAGTCAGATACCCAATGCCCCATGGTAATTATTTAGGCTCCTAATTGATATAGAACCCTTCTATAGATCCCTTATAGTCTACGCCGGAAGAACTTCTAAGCTGGAGCCGGAACTTCCCCAAACCCTAAAGTAGGAGGCCTTGTGTTGCTGTGGCTGGGTCCTGTAGCTACTAAATCCCAAGCCCCTAAAGCTTTAAACCCTCCAACCCAAACGTCTAAACCCCTGCCTAAACCCTGAACCCATAAAACCCCTAAACCCATAGATGGAGCACGGGGAAGCAAGACCCCCTGTCAAGGCCTCAGTGAAACTCACCTAGGGCTTCTAATCTCAAACCACCAGGACCCCTCCCCAATACTCTGCAACGAAGCTGTTGCGGTTTAGGGTTTAGGGTTTGCGTTGGTGTTTTACGATGGAGGGCAGTCGGGGGGTCCATGCGCGCCCCGAACACTAACATTCCAAGAGCGCGACACCTCCGGAGCCATACAATCCCCTCCGGTTTTGGGATTTAGCATTGATGGTTCAGGCTACAGGCGCCCGCGCAAACCCTCGAAACAATCCCTATCGCTAGCTGCCCGATAAACCTGTCTTCCGAAAGGCCACTCCCAGATGGTCGTTGGCCTCCCCTTCGGAGCCCACAAACCGTGCCTTGGATGCGTTCGGGTAGATCTTAAGCCTAAGTCCCAAATCTGAACCCTGCACTCTGCCTTTAAGAACCCCGGATCCGGTTTAGGTTCTACGGGGTTGTACAGGCTTTTGATGGGTTGAATCTCTTGCTGGGATTGTAAGAAGGGCTGTTGATTTCGCTGGAGCTTTCTGTGGTGGACGTGTAAAGCCCTTAACTCCTTAAAAGGTCTGTTCGTCATCATCAAACAGGACATGTCATTCAAACCCTGCGAGTACCTTCTCTCTCCACTCTGAGCCCTTACATACAAAACCCTGAACTCTAAGCCTAAACTCCTAACCCATCCTAACCCTACACCCCCATACATAGATCTCTCTCTCTCTCTCTCTATATATATATATACATATATATATATATATGTATATATATATATATATATATATATATATGGTGGCGTCGCGCGGTCGCAGGCCCCCCACCCCCCATGGTATGCCCCCCCCCCCCCCCCCCGAAGCCAGGCGTCTCGTCCCATCAGGCCAAACAGTCACACGTCTCGCCTCTCGCCTCGGCAGGGGCGGGAGGGAAAATCCACAACAGTGGAACCACAAGACGGCGAACCACAGGGGTGGGGTGGGGAAGGATAATCCACACAGGGAATCACCGGGCACCTTCCCTTCCCCTCTCTTCGAATACACATGAGAATGTTGCGCACAATGATGTTGATGTGCTAGTCCCAGTGTGGCTGTTGGTGGTACCTTTGCTCTTATGTTGCTCCGGGCACCGCATGATCACTGCTTAATCTAGTTGAAAACCGTGCTTGGCTTGTGATGTTCTTGCGAAAACTGTATCGACCGTTGTCATTCCAAGCCAAGTTACGGTTGGGTTCGCTACAAGGAAGCTTGAGCACGTGTTTGAATGGTTTTCATTCGGGACTTTTGAGCAAGGGACCGGAGGAGAGTGCGGATGGGGATAGTGACTACCATCTTCGTCATCATCATCACCATCATATTCATCACCATCATTGGCTTTGGAGCTCAGGGCAGGTCGGAGTTCAATAGACCTGTATCACATCCTACGGTCATGGACGGGGGCGCAGCCGACCGCAACCAAGGGGCAGGGGGGGAACCCACACCACAGGGAACCACAGGGGGGAGGGGGGTAT